GCTGGTGTCCCGTAGCACCGACAGATTTAAACCCATCTCACGTTTCAAAGGGCGATGGAATAACACAGTCTGGGCGATCCGCAGGGATAACTGCTTCCTTGGCAGCTTTCTCTCAGTGGTGAAAGCAAAGAGAGTCAGATTGTGGTGGGAACGACGCTGCCAGGAGCTGCCTGGGGACAGCAGGTCCTATCCCTGTTCCTTGCTGTTGCTATCCAAGATGCTTGGCATTGTGTCATGCCTTGCATCATTTTTGTGTATTCAGGGCATCTCTTCTTTCCTTTTTTTCCCCCTTTTTTCAGCCCAAGCTGGAGGAAGAGGCGGTCAGCACGTTGGGGACATCAAGGGGGGCAAATAAATGGAGGGTTTGGCATATCCCAGGAATGAGGAGAATGCTGCAGGACAGTCCTAGGAGCCAGTGAGGTGCTCTGGGACCCTCCAGACTGGACTGGAGGGATCTGACCTGGAGACAGGGCTGCAAAAGCCAAATTTCAGGAGATTTTGTGCTAGGTTGAGCCCAAATGGCCCCCCATGGGCTATTGGACTGTGTTTTCCTGGTTGCCGTGCATGAGCCCCTCTTCAGGTTTGGAGAGGTCACCCCCATGTGGGGGGAGGTTGCCCACATTTTGGGAGAGGCCGCTCCTGTCTGGGGATGGGAGTTGTTGCCATTCACCCCCTGGCTCTCCAGAGGCTCCTGTGTCATGTTGGGGGACCCCTGGGGTTTTTGGGGGGGCAGAGCTGGGAGCTGTGCTGAGCTGCCCAGAGATGCTGTGGCTGCCCCATCCCTGGAAGTGTCCAAGGCCACGTTGGACAGGGCTTGGGGCAACCTAGGCTAGTGGAAAGTGTCCCTGCCCATGGCAGGGGAGTGGAATGAGATGAGCTTTAAGGTCCCTTCAACCCAAATCATTCCAGGATTCCACGATTTTAGGTCTCCAGGATTTTAGGGTTCTAGGATAGAAAATGTTTGCTGCTGGCTGTGTTGGGCAGACAGCTTGTGGGAACAATTTGACTCGATTTTTGTCCGTTTTTCCTTTTTTTTCCTACCTGTGCCCCCTGGCCGAGTGCTGCGAGGTGACAGGCGCTGTTCCCCCGCAGACACCATCGACATCGTGCGTGATCCCATCTCCCCGGGGGAATACAAGCCTGAGGAGGATCCCAAACTCTACCACTCCTCCAAGACGGGCCGGGGGCCGCTGGGGGATGACTGGCTGGAGGCGGCGGCGGCCGGCGGGCCCCTCATGTGCGCCTACAAGCTGTGCAAGGTGGAATTCCGCTACTGGGGGATGCAGTCCAAGATCGAGCAGTTCATCCACGACGTGGGTGAGTCCGGAGCCAGGGGCTGCTGGCAGGAGAGTTTGGGGAGCCGTGGGGCCTCGCCAGCCTCGCTGCCCCCCTCTTTTCCCCCCTCAGGTCTGAGGAAGGTGATGCTGCGTGCCCACCGCCAAGCCTGGTGCTGGCAGGACGAGTGGACGGACCTGACGATGGAGGATATCCGGCAGCTGGAGGAGGAGACGGCGCGGATGCTGGCACAGAAGATGGCCAAGTGTGGCGAGGCTGAGGAGCCTCCCACGGCCGGCATCAGCCCCGAGGGGAGGCCGGAGACAGGGGGGCCTGGTGGGCAGGAGGGGGCCGAGCTGCAGGGCGGGACCGATGCCTCCTCTGATGATACCTTTGCCAAGCAGTGGTCCACCTCTTCCCGGTCCTCCTACTCTTCCCAGCATGGAGGTGAGAGACCAGGTCCTGCATGGATGGGATGGGGACTCCAACCCCCCAGGTGCTGCTGTTCTCCATAGGAGATCTGTCAGGGGACTCTCTTTTCCCTGGTTTGGGTCTCCTGAGGCGGGCTCTGGGTGTCCCAGGTCTGGTCTCAGATCTCCTGAAGGGGCTCTGGGTGACCCAGGGATGGTCCAGGGTCTTCTGGGTGGGCTCTCAGTGACTCAGGGATGGCTCTGGGTGACACAGGGATGGATGTGTGTTTCCTGGGCGTGGTCTCGGTGATCCAGTGATGGCCCCAAATCTCCCTGGGTGGGTCTGGATGCAGGACCAGGCAGGAGCTGTGGGGCAGGAGCGAGGTCTCACTGTGGGGGTGTCTGTGTGCTGACCCCCTGCCGGTGGCAGGGGGCGTGTCTCCTCAGAGCCTGTCGGAGTGGCGGATGCAGAACATTGCCCGGGACTCCGAGAACAGCTCCGAAGAGGAATTTTTCGATGCCCATGGTACAGGCACTGGCTCGGGGTGGGCTGGAGGGAAATCTCAGAGTGGAGGTGCAGGCACGGGCAAGATCCACCTGCCCACACCCCTCCCTGCCTTCACAGAGGACCTGTCTGACAGTGACGAGGTCTTTGCCAAGGAGATGACCAAGTGGAGCTCCAATGACTTTTTGGACACACTGGAGCGACCGGCAGAGCTGGATGAGGCAATGGGTGAGCGCTGGGGGGCCTCTGGCCCCAAATCCTGGTGTGGGTGTCCTGGGAGGGGGCTGATTCCCACCTGGAGACCCCAGCCAGGCTCACCGGGGCTGTGTGCTCACAGGGGATGGAGCCAGTGCTGCCAAGGCAGACAGTGAAGGACTGGGAACGTCTGGCTTCCCCGAGGTGCGTGTCCCATGTCCCCGCCCTCAGACCCTGGCCCCCGGCCGTGCCCCCCCGACTTCAGTGCTCTCCTTCCTGCAGGGCGGTGCAGCGGAGAGCGCGGAGCAGATGTGCCGGATCCACGCGCTCTTCCTCATCCTGCACAGCGGGAACATCCTGGATCAGGGCGCGGGCGAGCCGGGCTCCAAGCAGGCGGATGTGCAGACGCTGGCGGCCACCTTCGACGCCGTCACCCGTGTCCACTTCCCCGAGGCGCTGGGACACGTGGCACTGCGCCTGGTGCCCTGCCCGCCCATCTGCGCCGCGGCCTACACCCTCGTCTCCAAGTATGCATTCACGATGGGAGAGGGGGAGAATGGGGAGCTGATGGCCTCGGAGAGGGGACTTTGCTTCTCCTAAGAAGGCATCTAGGACGATGGGTGGCATAGGGGTAACCCCCGCTGTAGCATCCCAGGACAAACAAATATCATGGCATGGGGTGGGTTGGGATGG